CGACTCACGGCGGATGTCCACCACAAGCTTGTAGCAAACAAACATGCACCAAGCGTGCAAGGCTTCAATCAGACTGCCTAAAAAAGCAGCTGACCATTGATCCGTAAGCTTGATTGCTTTCGAGCAAGAACATCATACAGGCCAAACGCTTTCTCCCCAGCAATTCTCAACCCTCACAGGTTTTCCGAACTTTTTGCTCCTTCAAGGGATCGAAAAAAGAGATTTTTCTGGACACCAGTTTGGGGTCCAAAAACCCTAGCAAAAACCGGTCCCGCCACAGAGGGCCTCCCCAGTACAGCGGGAAAGGTTCCCACGAGGGAGAAAAACTCATGGCCGCCTTAGAGTTAGCAAGCGAGCGCTCAAGGGATGGAAGAAAGCTGTCTCCCCTACCAGCCGCCTACCTCTTCCCAGGCTGCTGGCAAATGGAATGGCCATGCAATTGCTTGGACAAGGCAAGACTCTCATGGCCTTGATGTTGCTGGTGGCTTTCGAGATGTACCTCCGGCCAGGGGAGGCAGTGGAGTTGTGCAAGCGCCATGTGGTAGCTCCAGTCAGGATGGCAGGAAAACAATACTCGACCATCCATGTGGTGATTCGTGACCAAGCGGGTCTTCGCCCAGACAAGACTGGCACCTTCGACAACTCCCTTCCGTTCGACAAAGCCAAGACGGAGTGGATTGGAGACGTCCTCTTGCGCAAAGCAAAGGATCTGAAAAAGAAAGGCGACAGGATCTTCAATTTCAGTTTAGACGATTTTCGGAAAAGCTTTGCCAAGGCGGGGGAAGCGATGGGAATCGCTCACCTACATCCTTATCAGCTTCGTCATGGGGGAGCAACAGAGGATCTCACTTATGCCAAAGTGGGGCGGGTGCAAGAGCTGCTCAACCAGGTGAATCAGGCAACTCTGCAGTACTGCCAGTGGTCCGAACGAAATCTTCAGCGAGTTTTTCAAGGGTCGGTGACAGCAAAGAAGCTCAGCGTGTAGATGTTTTTTCAGCACAGCGCCGGCCTAAGAAATTTGCTTTAGAGATCTTCGCTGGCAGTGCTCGTATGTGCGCTTCCTTGAATGAGCGGGGCATCCCCACGTTTGCAGTGGATACATGCATCTCTCCCTCTCACAATGTGCTGCTACCAAAAGTTGAGCAAAAGATTCATCACTGGATTCGACGGGGTAGGGTTCTTTTACTTTGGTTGGGTATGCCGCGCACAACATTCTCCAGAACAAGAAAGCACAACACTGTAGGTCATTGCCCACTCCGGTCATCTCAAGAGCTTTTAGGGGTCTCTGGATTGGGTCGTCGTGATCGTGGGAAGGTTGAGAAGGACAATCAGGTATTTGCATTTGTGATGCGCATCTTGCACACTTGTACTGAGTTTGGAGTACCATACGTGGTCGAGCACCCTCTGACCAGCTTGCTGTGGGAGATGCCTCCTCTGCAACGTTTTTGTATTTCTCATTCTCCTCATTTTGTCGACTTAGACTACTGTGCCTATGGGGAAAACTGGAGGAAACCAACCAAGTTGATGTATCAAGGACTTGACCTTCAATCCTTAGGACGACGCTGCTCCGGTCACCAGCATCTCTGCTCCTTTTCAAAGCGTCGGCGCGTCCCGCTGCAAGGCGTCAATGAGCACGGTGTCGTCTGGACGCCTTTTGCGCAGCCCTGTCCTTGGAGCTTTTGCGCTGCAGTCGGAACGCTGGCCAGTGCACTTCGTGGTTAAGGGGGCTTGGCGTGGATAGTCGATGCTTCACTTTGGCTTCAATGGTCAATGGCATAGCC